GAAAACTTTATCTCTCATTAACAAGCGTCGTCTTTTAAAACACACTAAAAAAAAAAAGCTACTTAAGTGAATTCGGGCTCGACAAATTTTCAGATTTTCCTCCGTCTCTGAAAACCTTATCTCTCCCTCCTTGAAACCCTCCTGCACTCTCTAAAACACCCTCATGAAACTCTCTAAAATACCCTTCTATATCTTGCTAATGAATTCTGGATTAGTCTCTTTGCGTTTCTGGTGTGTTCTTTGTCTCCCTAATTTTAGATTTTGTCTCTCTTGATTTGTCTGGTTTGTTTACATATTTTTTTATATTTCTGGTTTCTTTTTAGATTTTCTGATTTGGTTATCAAGAGATGATGAGGAAGCTTGTAGATTTATAACTTCTTTTTTTTGTAGGTTTTCTATGTGAGTCGTATGTTTTTTTGTTGTTGAAAATTTGTTGCCTTCTCTTTTCACCGTCATTTTATTTATATATTTTTCCTTTTGCAGGTTCTCGATGGTCTTTTTTTGCTCATTTTACAAGTTTTCTATGGAAATATGGATCAATGGTAAAATTTATCTTCCACCTAATTTTTTATGTTTATAATCTTAGCTTTTTTTCTCTCTTTGTCATTTTGATTTATTTACAGGGATGATGGAGGAGACTTCAGTTGTGCATCATTTGTATGTTTGGATGAGGAATGCTTGGATTAGGAGTACTTAGGTATTGTTAGGAATTATGTTTGTTGTAGAATAAAGATTGGTTAACTATATAATAACTATTGAATCTTCAAGTTTTATGAAAGAAACTATTTGTGTATATATTCATTAATAAAGCATTATGGTTGGTTTTCTAGTTAAAATCGTTGTATAGCATCATAGAAAATCAAAAATAACTAAAATGTAGCAGTTTGGAAACTTATTAGACGACGTTTTTTATAATAAATCATGGTCTTTACAGATAATTAATGACGGTTTTTATAAAAAAGTGTCGTCTATTATAGGTAAAGATGACCTTTTAAAAAAAAATTGTCGTCTATTGTATGTAAAGATGACGGTTTTTTATATATAAAAAACAGTCGTCTTTATAAACAATCCACGACGGTTTTCATAAAAAACCGTCATCTTTACATACAATAAACGACGGTTTTATTAAAAACAGTTGTCTTTCCTCCTATAATTAACGATCTTTACCTCTAAACAACGACGATTTTCTTTAAAAACCGTCGTCTTTATAGATAAACAACGACAGTGAAAAGTCGTCGTAGTTTGAAACCCAAATAGACGGCAGTCGATTTCACGATAGTTGGAAAACCTTTTTATACAACGGTGGTTTCCCGTCGTCTATTTCGATTTTTGTAGTAGTGATATGTCTTATTTTAATTATGTGTCCCAAATTCTCCTTCAACCTCTCTTTAAATCCAATTTTGTCCAAACATCTTTCATCTACCCCTTTGATTCCTTTTCTCCCTCTTTGATGTGGCCTATCTTGCAAGGTATAGAAGCTAATCCAAAATGCGATCTCGCGTCCCCATCAGAAGGTGTATATAGCTCTTACTCTGGTGCTTGCACCACCACCTTCCACTCGCTTGATTCTTTGGGCTTCAGGTTTTCATTTCCCTTGGTCTTGCTTTGATTGGTTGTTGTATTCTCTGTGGGGCATAGGCGAGTTCAAACTTGGTGGAGTTGGTGATTCATGGGTGGATGTCATTGAGTTGATATGGCTTTGTGGTTTATGGAACTTCTAGTCTTGGTGGCAGATTTATGGGTCTTTTGTGTGCAGCTATACTATTTTGTGCGGTGGTGATGTCTCCTTTCACTTTCTGCCGAGGTGATGCGCTCCCTGTTCTCTTGTCAACGGTGGCGGCTTTTGTGTGCTTAGGCTAGGGTTTTCCAAAATTCTAGTTTTGGGTATGAACTGGGCTGTATGCTTATTTTTAGGCTCTGATTGTATTTGGGGGTGGGCCACTGGACTATGTGTGCTGTTTTATTTTGAGTTTTTTTTTTTTTTTGTTATTATGCTGGGTGTACAAACTTTGTTCTAAACTTGGTTTGAGTTTAGATGTTCTTTCCCGGTTGTGTTACGGTTCTATTGTGCCATTGGTTTGTGCTTTGTACACCTATTTGGCACTTTAATGAAATGAGATATGATTTCGACCAAAAAAGATGTAGTCTTCTTAGTTTCATTCAAAGATTCTTCGTGCAAGATGTTCGTCCTTTGTTAAAAATGAATTGATACTGGTGATAATGTATCAATAATATCTTGCTACGTTTTGTTATTGACATGTCATCGACAATGATATTGACACCTTATCGATATAAAATCAACAATACAATTAGTCTTGTTTTCACGACTGACAATAATCTGTCTTAGTTTTAAGTTTCTTAAAATAAGATATTATCATGGACTCCACCTCCCTACTATATTCATGCACTCAGAGATTCTTTATTCAATTTCGCCTCCCAATATATAGCTTGTAGAAAGGACGGACATTCAACTTTTTTTGCTGGTTTTGCTTTTTGTGGGAAGAGATGGAGCGTTAATTACTCATGTCTAAAAAGAATCCAATTTGTTCAAGTCAAAACTTGTTGTACCTTTGCACAAGCATTAGCCTAATTTTTTTTCAAACTATACGTTAATGTTGTCACATCATGCTTATGTGATTGAATAAGTTCTAAGAAAAGTAAAACCAATCACACCCGAAAAACAACAAATGGATTTTTTGTTCTTCAAGTAACTTCTCAATTGTGAAAAAGGAAGGTTTGGCTTCTTTTGACCTGTATTGTGAGGCATCGCAATCTAGCTCTCTAAGTCTTAAAGTATGGATTTACCTTTCCTTCAACTTTATAGAGGGAGATGCTAATGGAAACAATGGGGCCTTTGTCTGGTTGAAAAGAGAAAGCTGTCAAAACACCAAAACTTCGAAAAGCAATATTCAACCCATGCAAGTTTTTACTTTGAAGTGATCCTTAAGAAACACCCAGCTTTTCTCTATCGAAAAAAGCACCCAGCTTTCAAATATAACATTAAAATCACATGCAAGGAGGAACATTACTGGCTTTAGAATTAAAAGTTATCGTTTTCCCAACTCTAATTAATTTAACAATTGAATGTGTAACAATTGCTCTCCAAGAAAAAGTCATGGATTCGAATTCTAGTAACCGTGAATTTACTATGTTATCCTAAAAAAAAACAAAGTTTACGCATCGATAATTGAATTTGTAACAATAATTTAAAGGTCATCTCATACATTCATTCAATATTCGTTGGACCATCCGTGTATAAGTACACTCTTTTGTGTTTATAAATGTCTTGTTCAATCAATTTTCAGATGTTTTGTGAATTTAAGAAACGGGTTTGAATCTATAAAATAATGTTGACCAAGTCGCAAAAAATTAATGAGGACTTCCCAATTTTCACGGCAAGTCAGGGAAGACATTTCTCCATGCCTTGTCATGCTCATGATTGATGTAGAAATTGAACAATTTGTCATTTGTTACCAATTGTTACTGGCTAGATAACAACTAATGGTAACGATGTCTAATTCAATGAAAAAGACTTTGATTTGTAGACTAGTCATTTCAATTTCGAAGTTCGAATCTCCATGGTGGTATTGTTTCTTGCTTTTTATTTTTATTTTTTTTTTATAAAAAACTCCATCTTCTATAATTTAAACTATCACTTGTACTTAAAATAATAATAATAATAGCTATTAATTAATTAATAGCATCTATCTCGCATTAATTTACAGATAAAAATGAAATAATCACAAAAGACAAGGGTTGGTGACATCGCATTAATAAAGCAGTTGGCAGTTAAAATTGCAATGCATGATGGCATATATAGTCTCACATGCAGAATCACATGGATGTGATACAAATTTATTGGTACAAATGAATGACCAATTTGACTAACTTTGGCATTTAAGTAATAAGACTCATAACTTTGGAATTCAAAACTATTCGAGCATCTTCAATAGTAGTAGTAAATTAAATTTTTTAACTTAAAGTTTGTTGACTTATGTGGTAATTTGAAAATATTTATTTGCTACTTGAATAATTTTTGCTCCAATAGACTCTTCAATTTAATTGATGCAACATCATGAAAAAGAATGAAGAATATGATAACTTGTGCAAAATGTTTATGTATTTATTATCTTAAAAGAACAAATGCACGTTTTTAACATTTTCAAGGTAAGTTTTGTTTTTTCAAAGTAAATTAAATGTTTTGAATAGTCAAAGTCAATTTATCAGTCTTTAAGAGAGAGAAATATGTCGCAACTTTGATGACTGAGTTTGACAAAATTGTTGAAGAGATTTTTTATGATACACTCACTTAACTAATAGTGATGGATGATAATTTGGATGTTGAATTGGGAATTATCTCCGGAGAAAAAAAAAGTCCATATCAGTTTGATGGCTACTTAATTGTTAATGTTTGTCACATCAAAGCAAAACCGATCAAATATTGCAATTAAATCCGTCCAATTTCAGAGTAACGCTCATCTCCTCTCACTTGGCAATTGAAGTGATGCCAAGTGATGCAACTCCTCTACGTAATTAACAGTGCCATGATATAACATGCGCACAAGATTTCTTACATTCGAATCCCTCTCTCTCCTGTATATGTATGAAAGTCCCTCTCTCTCCTGTATATGTATGAAAGAACATGACATAACACTCGCACAAGAGGTCCTACGTTCGAGTCCCTCTTCTATATATGTATTAAAGAAAAAATACGCATTAAAAAACGAATAATAGAAATAATAATAATAATAATAAAACAGTTGTCGGCACAAATACTGAGTGACGCTCACAAAGCCTTAAAAAGAAAAAAAAGAGAAAGCGAGGGACAAATAAGTAGTGACGCTCGCAGTCTGTCGGTGATATTAGCGAAAAGCCAAGATCAAAATCCGTAATTAAGTTCCAAAACCGAGGGCCAAACGAACCCATCTAACTAATTAGCTCACACATTCACTCTGCCTCCCTCTCTTTCCCGCGGCTTTCAACGCGGCTTTGCTTTTGGCCTTTCCCCTTCTCTCTCTTTTTTATTTTTTTACTTTAATTTTAACGTTCCAAATTAAAAAGAAAGAGAATTTTTGCGAGGAAAATTTATAAATAAAAAGAGCGTGATCTGATTGAGTTTTGCGTCTCCCGAAAACAGAAAGAGAGAAAAAAAACTCTGCATCATCTCTCTGGCCTTCTTCGACTAATTCCAGTCCGTGACCTCCCTCCAAATCCCAAACCCCAAATTCCATTCGCATTTCGAGTTTTCGATCTCACTCGCGCTCTGTGCGGTCAGATCTCGCCGGAGCTCGAATGAGCTCGAGACCGTTCTGCACTTTCTAGCCCGATCATCCGCCGTCGTATTAATGAAGCTGCAGAGAAGAGAGAGTTGCTCTGCTTCTTGCTTTGGAGGAAGATGAAGTTCTACATATCCACGACGGGGATAAAGAGGCTGACGATATCGAGCGCCGGAGCCAGCAAGGCTTCTCCGGCGACTCGGAGGATTTCCGGCCGGACGGTGTTGCCGTTGGTGCTGGTGCTCGCTCTAATTTTGCCCTTCCTTTTCGTCCGAATTGCTTTCATTGTCCTTGAATCTGCCACTGCCTGCTCTTCCACGCTTGGTAACAACTCAAACTCTCTTTCTCTCTCTCTAGCTTTTTTCTTTTCTTTTTAATTTTCTGAAAGTTTTTAGGTTAAAAGATAATTAAATATGTATAATATATTGATTTGAGATATTTTTTAAATTATCTGAAAAAGATTTTGGAGTGCTGTGCTAACTAAAACGCAGCTGTTGGCTATTGTTGCATTAGTTTGTCTTTTCAAACTCCAATTTCATAGCCAAGCATAATAATAAACAAAAAGCTGTTCTGTTCTGATTTCTGATGGTGAACCAGGCTTTTTTCTTCCAAGTTCTGTATCTCAATAATACTTTGAATGTACCTTGAATTCTGTTCTATTCCCCATCTTTCAAGAATTATTTCCGACTTTAATTATTTGGGAATTTTGTTGTTTTGTGTTTGGTAATGCAGACTGTATAGGATGGAGGTTTTTCAGCGGGAGCGACGAATCTATGGTAAGTGCTAAATGCTCCCACTACTCTATTTACTAAATACTATTTTCATTTTTCAGCTTATTTTGCACCGAAAAAGAAAAAGAAAAAACAAAGATTTTTGTCCAACTTTATTTAGAGCATACAGCTCCAGTACCACATATACGGAGAATCACTTTTATATAATTATTTTAAGTAATTTTAGTTGATTTTATGGAGAATCGCATAAAAAGTTTTTTTATTAATTTATTTATCAGAATTACTCAAAATTACTGAAAATTATTATATAAAAAAGCACGTGCGAGATATTTTCATAAGAATACATGTATTAGTAAACATGTACGCATTATCTGCTGGAATTTAATTAAAGTTGTTTATATTTGGCTTGATTGATTCCTAATTGATATATGGTATTTAATGTTAGACGATAGAGTAGGTGATATCATTTTCGTACTAGGAAATTACGTAGAATAGCACAGTCAATGGATAAGCACATTTGGGGGTGTGTCGGTATTTGCCTCACTCCCCATCAGTTGCTTTCGTGGACACGTGGCTAGTTGTATGCAATCATATTATTCTCGTCCACTTGATCTTAATTAAAAAAAAGGAATAAAAACAAAAAATGCAATAATTGCCCCAAAACCTCTATTACCAAACCAGAACTATTTTGACTGCTTCCACTACATCATCAATCCATAACTTTGAGTGGAACCAACTGTCAATAGCTTTGTTTCTTCTTTTTTCCCAATCCCACGTCAACACGGTTTAGTGGGATCAAACATCAGACGGCTGTGATTTAATCACCTAATGGGTTATATTTTTTTACGTGGGTGATGCATGTAAATGTACCGCAATGAAGCTCAGAGAGGAGTTGACAAGAGCACTGCTGGAAGCAAAGGATGGTAAGGTCGATAATAATGAGCAAGGGATAGAGTCTTTCAACCAGCTTGTGCAGGAGATGACTTTGAAGCAACAAGATGTCAAAGCCTTCGCTTTCAAAACAAAGGCTATGGTAAACTCTCACTCACTTTCACTACGCTTTATCTTTATCTTTTCATTTATTGCTATTAGCCAGCGGTTAGTTTTGTTTCTTTTTCCATCATCACTTTTGGTATGTACTGGTAGGGATGATGGTGATGCCACCATTTCTATTGTCTAGTGCATCATTTCGGGTTGGCAAAAGTTGGTCTAAAACTTTTAAACTCCACCTACCCAACTGGCTTATCTATTGGAATTGGTCCTGGGTCTGGTTAAATCTCCAACATCAGTCTACCCCCTAATTTAATTTAGTTTGTTTTTATTTATTAATTTTGTTATTTCTTTCTGGGGCTGTTGCTTTGCTACTATAATTATGTTAAGGAGACTCCTTGTTTCGTATGGTATTGGATTAGTTTTGGAAGCTCACGGGTTAATATGAAGGAAAAAAAGAGTCCAAAACCAGTAAACCAGTTTGTAGAAACCTTAAGCTACCTGCTTCCAGTTTCAATTCAAAGCAATTTCCATTTCTCTTTGTTTCGTTTAGTGACTGGAATACAATTCTAAACTTACATGACCTAATTTTCTTTAGACCCACTTATCTACAATTTCAGAGATTTATTTGTCCTAAATGAAAATTGCGTGTTGCATGCCACAAAATTTCCATTGCCAACTGGCCCAACTATCTCTGCCTACAATGTTCTTTGGCGTATGTTCAAGCAAGTAAAAAGTTTCTCTAACAATAGCGGGCAGAATACACATTTGTGGTCCTAGTGTAGTTGCCCAAGTTGTCATTTTTTACTGAAAATTGATTGACGATTTGTGTCATCACTATCCATGCCCCTTTTTTCTTCCGTTGCATGTTGTTTTTATGCAGAATCTTGAAGTTGAGCATCTTTCGCATAGATTGCTTTACTTCCTAGTTCCTCATACGAAACTCCCTTTAGTTTAGAGTGTGCAAGCCTTTGGGACCACAAGAACTTTGAAGGGTGGCAGAGTGATTCGATAATTGCTGTCTAAATTTTGGCCACAGATTGCTAGCTGCAGTTAGTTGGACAAAAGTGAACAGTTTTCAAGGTCTAAATTTGACATGAAGTAAAATTATGTTGAAGATTTAAGATATGCCTTTTTTCGTATTTATTGTAAATTAATCTTCAGAAAAGCCGTTTGAGATAAAAATTGTGATAACTAGCATAATATTTGTAAAAGATCAATGTGGCTTTGTAGAATGACCCATAGAAATTTGTTGAATCTCCGTCAATATACTGCTTAATTAACTGAAGAGTAGTTTGTTACTTGATATGCAGCTATCAAGGATGGAACACAAGGTTCAGTCAGCCAGGCAGCGTGAGTCAATTTACTGGCATTTAGCCTCACACGGTGTCCCCAAGAGCCTACATTGTCTTTGCCTCAAATTAGCTGAAGAATATGCTGTGAATGCGATGGCTCGATCTCGCTTGCCTCCTCCTGAATATGTTTCTCGACTTTCTGATCCCTCCTTTCACCACCTTGTTCTCCTAACTGATAATGTCCTTGCAGCTTCTGTTGTTATCTCTTCTACAGTCGAAAAATCAGCCAACCCTGGAAAATTGATTTTTCACATAGTGACTGACAAGAAAACTTACACTCCAATGCATGCATGGTTTGCAATTCATTCTATTCAATCAGCAGTGGTGGAAGTTAAAGGGTTACACCAGTACGAGTGGTCTCAGGGAGTAAATGTTGCGGTCAAAGAGATGTTAGAGATCCATCGCCTGATTTGGGGAAAATATTACAAAAATTTGAAAGAAGAGGACTTTGAGTATGATGGAGAACATAAAAGATTCTTAGAAGCTCTGAGTCCCAGCTGCCTTTCCCTTATGAACCTTCTTCGAATTTATATCCCTGAGGTAATCGCTCTATTGCTTTCACAGATGGAATGGATGACATTGAATATGAATTTGTAATGATATCATCTAATTTTCATGGGCCACACAGCTGTTTCCAGATCTCAACAAGATAGTGTTCTTGGACGATGATACTGTTGTGCAACATGACATATCATCTTTGTGGGAACTCGATCTCAATGGCAATGTTGTTGGTGCAGTTGTCAATTCATGGGACGGTGACAACTGTTGCCCAGGAAGAAAATACAAGGATTACTTTAATTTTTCAGACCCTATAATTTCATCCAACTTCGATCACAATCGTTGTGCGTGGCTGTATGGTATGAATGTCTTCGATCTTGAAGCTTGGAGGCGAGCCAATATAACAGAAACATACCATCATTGGTTAAAACTTGTAAGTATATTCTCATATGATCCAGTAATTTCTTGATTGGAAACTGCTTGTAACTTAGTGTCACTTATTTAGAGTGATTTGGAATACATAAATCTTCCCTTCGGAGGCAACCAAACAAATATTAAAAGAATAGGAAAACAAGACATGTCTTTCTCGTAAAGCATAATAAGCAACTGATACTGATAAATCTTATTTGTGTCTCACAGAGCCAGGAATCTGGGTTGACATTGTGGCGTCCAGGAATAATTCCACCTGCCTTAATTGCATTTGAGGGTCATGTGCATCATATTGACCCATTATGGCATGTCGCCGGGTTAGGTTCCCGGTCCCCAGAAGTTCCCAGAGATATATTGGAGGCTGCTTCCGTTATTCATTTCAGTGGCCCAGCAAAGCCGTGGCTTGAGATTGGCTTTCCAGAGGTACGGAGCTTATGGAATAAGCATGTAAATTCTTCAAACAAGTTTGTTAGAAAATGTAGGATCATGGGGTGAAGAGGACGAAGTTCTTTCACTCTCTCTCAGATATTCATTTTGGGACAAATCCAGAAGCAGAGTTTGGGGAACAGAGGGAAGAAGGTTTTGGCTTCAGTCTCTGCACACACTCAGCTCAGCTCTGGACACTTCAGATGGTTCGTATTCATGTCCATAATAGACAGTAGACGAACGAAGGTACCATGAGATGCAAATCCATATAGCATAGAATCAGGATTTTCAACCTTAATGCATATAAAGGGATATAAGCTTCTTCATGGATATATGTATCTCTCTGACATTATATTGTAAATTTACTCGGGTAAAATTGAAATTGCTTAGATCAATGATCAAACTTGGTAGTAATTTGTCTATTCATTCTTGTTTATATTCCCTCTACTTTGTGTATTTTTCCTTTTAGACAAAAAAAGAGAGAGAGAACAATTAGTGCTGCCAATGGGATAAATATCTTCGTCACCAAATCCAATCACGGGTGAGGCTAGTTTGTCAAAATTGAGAATATGCCTAACTATGCAATTATAAATTCTGAAAACATTATACACCACCACAACAATAATGTATTAATGTGTGGTTGTTGGTTTCGATATCAAACAAAACAAAAGCGCTCAATTATTAGCTGATATATATTTTTGCAAAGCATAATGCTGTTGGGCTGTATTGGCAGCTCACGTCAAGTGTTTTCTATGAAGTCAAAAAACCTATCAGCCGAGCCCTACAGACTCACCACTCACTTTCTTCTCTCCTAGGCAAACCTTATAAATCCATTTTCCACAAATTAAACTGAAAACTGGAAAAGCAAATTAAAACATTATACTAGAAATAGGGTATGCCCTTTGAACTACTATCAAACTTTCGATTTACCCTCTATCCTTTTTTTTTTAGATATGAACCTTTTTTTTCTGCCAATTTCCCCCATGCCATCTTAATCTGCAACATTTCATCCAATTTATCATTAAATATGAGGGTAAAATAGGCATTTTGTACGTTAAAAATAAATAAAAAATGAAAAATAAAATAAATACTAGAAAACTGAAAATTCTCTCTCTCTCTCTCTCTCTCTCTCTCTCTCTTAGGGGGGGTGCGGGCTAGATTCTATGGGTGGGGGGGGGT